AAAAAAAAAAAAAAAAAAAAAAAAAAAAAAAAAAAAAAAAAAAAAAAAAAAAAAAAAAAAAAAACGAGCACTATAACAACAACAACCCCGCCCCCCGTTTGTCCCTCTCCTCTGCCGCAGCGTGGCTGCGGCGCGTCCATTTGTTTTAATAAAATTCAACAATCAGGTTAAATGGGAGAAATAGTTGGACAAGGAATTCTAACCCTACTCGATAAGAAAGGAGACAAAACAAATATAACAAATTACAAACCAATCACACTCCTAACAGTAATCTACAAGATGTTAGCAAACACCCTAGCTAATCGGTTGATGCCAATCATTATAGATATTGTTTATGCCTCTCAAACATGTTTTATAAATGGGAAGAACATTCAAGACAATATACTGTTAATTAATGAAATGTTGAAGCTCTAAAGATAAAATAAACAAAATGCTGCCTTCATGTTTATTGATTTGGAAAAAACTTATAATCATGTGGACTGGGGTTTTTTGGAAGCCTGTCTGCTAAGGATGAATTTGGGGCCTGATATAAGAAGATGGGTTCACATTCTTCACTTTAATGCAACCACAAGGATTCAGGTAAATGGGTTACTGTCGCCCGAGATTAGACTTCAAAGATCGGTGCGTTAAGGGGATCCATTAGCTCCTTTTCTTTTTGTGATCATCATGGAAGCCATATGAGCAAATTTACAGCCAATCCTAATATAACTCGCCTTCGGCTCTCAGGTATCCCTGAGGAGGCATACCCATTTATTCTCTGTTTGTCGATGATTTAACTATTATGATGGAAGCCTCACAAGAAAATCTAGAGGAAATTAAGGCTCTAATGGATCGATTCTCCCAAATATCAGACACGGTGGTAAACTGGGGCAACAAAATAGAGGGTTGGTGGATACATTCCAATGGGGTTAGGCCGCCAGAGGAACCAAGGGTCGAATGGATGCCACTACAAGCACCAATCAGAGTGTTGGGGATGCTTTTAACAGCACAAGGAAAGTCAAATACAAATGATGCTTGGATTGGAAAACGAAGCACACTTCTTTGTTTGGAAGGGTGCTTCTCATTAACAATGTAGTATTGGCTTCCATTTGGTATAAGTCTGCGATATAGGGCTTGGACAAATTCTTTATCCGGATTTAAAAAATCCCTTACGACCTTTTTGTGGAGAGGGGACCATGAATCTCCTCATGTGACCCCCAAAGTGGTCTGGCTCACCATTATCCAACCTAAGGCAAGAGAAGGATTGGGAATTCTAGACCCAATGCCACAGTGTCAGACACTAATACTTCAATGGTTAAAGCGATTGATCTTTGAGACTGAACTCCCGTGGCAAGCTTTAGCATTGGAACAGATACGTAGGTTGGCTCCGGAATCAAGTAAGAACATCCATCCCCTCACGTGGGTGGAGGATCGTTATTGGAGCATTCCTCGGGCACAGGTGGGTTCCCGTATGGAAGGAGAAAGGCGGGAGATTAGGAGAGATTTAGTGTAGGACGATTTCTGGATAATGCTGTTGAAATCCTGCTGCAAGTTCCCTTTGCCTAATAGAGGTGCCCCCTCGAGGTATGAGGACATTCTTCGTCAACCTATTTTTGGAAACTGTTGGATAATGGATACAAATGGGGCAGTCTACATTACCTCGGGTTCCCCCTGGTCCACATGGGTGAAGCATGCCGCTGTGAGAATCAAGGATTTATGAGACCCAGTGAGTCAGTGACAAAAAATTGAAAAACAGTACAAAAATAAAGACAAGAAATCAAGTATGGTCATACCCTTCAGGAGACTGTAGATCAGATCCTTTCCTCCCTCTCCCTGATCTGGTCAGTCATTTTGAGAAAAGGGCAGGTTTTTTTGGAGGCAGACTGGGTTTGTGGAGTCGGACCAGATGAAACTAAGATGGTGGGACAAGTCATTGACAAGTGTATGGATGGGGCGTTAGTGAACTTGTTCAGGATTCACAAGGATCATACAATTGTCACAGTCACATCAAGATAAGGTGTCTTTTTCCCTTCCAACACTTTGTTTAGAATCAGGGTGGTGTATTGTTCCTCCACAAAAGTTTGGAGAGCTTTTCATCCGGACATTCCTATTCCTGAGCTCCCTCTGGATCCAAAGGATTGGGTGTGGAGGTCTTCGAGAAGGAGCAAGTCTCAAAAGTTGCAATTATTGTCGGTCAAAGCATCTTACCGATTTGTTGAGACCGAGGGTGGATGTATCTGCAATTATACAAGAACGGTGGGCCAGGCAGTTGAACATTTACCTAGAGTCACTCAGGCATATCTCGTGGTGCAAGGGGTTCAAGGAAAGACCGGCAAAATTTGCGTCTCTACAATGGAAAATAGCTCCTAGATGTTTGCCAACAAATGATTGGTTATCAGACCATTCATCCTTAGAGCAAAGAGGGTTAACTCTCCCTTGGTGTCAAGCCTGTCTAGAAGTATTTCCAAGTAGAAAAAATTGAGAAACCATTGAACACACTTTCCTACAATGTCGAGGAGCAAGACTGTTATGGAGAAGATGAGACTGTGTGTGGAACAAACTTACTGGTTTGGTTTGGCCCTGGAGTTGGCAGGCGATCCTGCTGGGATACTGGAACCGGTTACATTCAGTTTATCAGTTTTTCAGCAAAATCTGTTCAATATAGGAAGAAAGGCGGTATTGCGGGCACTGTGGTACCGACGTTGTGTTCATGTTATGGAAAAAGTAAGACTAGAAGGGGAAGAAATTTCTGACCTTATTCAACAATTCATTCAAACAGAAGTTCGGGCCCAATGGAGTACATTAAAACATGATGTACAAAAGTTACAGCAAAATATGGATATAAAAAAGAAACTACAAAAATTCAAGTTCGACCGGCTGGGGGGAAGTTCAGAGGAGAGACTAGGAGATGTGGTTTGGCCAGGAGGGGAAGAGGATGGGGTCTCTTTTAAGAGGGACTATCACATTTTCTTTCACGAATGGTTCAAGATCCTCCCAGGAGCTTCATTGAGATCTCCAGATTTATTTCCTGATCCCTTTCCCCCCTCAAACCTAGCTCTAGTAGATATGGATTGGTTTGGCAAGGGGGATGGGTAATTAGCATTTTCCCTCTAATGAAACGGTTTTCACCTTTGCAGAGGCAGATGCAGATTCCAGGGTTCGATCCCCAGACCTTACCTTACCCATGTACAGCATCGAGTTGACCCCCGAGTGTTTGAACCCGTGACCTGTGTTTCGTTAGTTGTTGTTTGTCTGTCGCAGGACTGTGTAGATGTAGGGATTCGATCTGTAGGTCTGTCGAGTAGGGGTCACAGCTTTGTAGAGGCCGTAGCTATAGGCATTCTGAAAGGTCAAGGTCGTAGCTGCTACAGTCCTGAAAGGTCAAGGTCGTAGCTGCTACAGTACCCGAAAGGCCAAGCCCACAGACTTCCGGAAGTTCCGGAAGCAGCCTTCCGAAGTTTGTCTCACGTTTAGACAGAGGCGAGTGGGCAAGTGGGGAGCCCAACTGCGTTACGTCAGCAGTGCTACTGCATCGAGTTGGCAGTGCAAACCCATGCAGTCAGCGGTACCGGTCCTTACGTCAGCAGTGCGACTGCATCGAGTTGGCAGTGCAAACCCATGCAGTCAGCGGTACCGGTCCAGTCAGTCCCAGTCCAGTCCAGCAAGTACCAAGAGGGACTGTGTGCACCATGGGCCGATGGAAAGGGGCAGACCAACGAGTTACAGAAGTATAAATCAAGAGGCAGCGCTCAGCCATACATTCATTCGCTGCGTAAGCCATGCGGAAGCGCTACTACAGCATCTTGTGCGAAGGTGGTCTGCAGGTTGCCCGAAGACGGAGTGGGCTGAAGGGAGATCGTAGCCATAATCAGTAGTGGTAGTGCGGCCATAGCCGCTGTAGGAGGAAGTAGACATAGCGTATGTGTGTGGTGGTATTCAGGGTGATCCAGAGTGAGCATGTGTGAACAGTGGGGTTGGACACAGGGACGAAGGCTGGGATGTTCAGGCGCTGATGCGCCATAGCCTGTTGGAGAGAACTTGCATCCCAACTGTGTTCTTGATTTCCATATCTCTAAGCTTTGAGTGGGCGCCTGCGCCAGTGTGAGTCTCCATCTGTTTGCATGTGTGCGAAGTGGAAAGACTAAGCCTTCACTGGTTGTTATGGATTGGTGCATTGTATTCGAAAAAATAAGGTAGATCTGCTAGAATGGCATGTATATCTGCCGGCTCAGTTGGGGTGAAGAGGCAGGGTTCTACTTTCAACTTACAATGACTTGTTCTGGATGATCATGTAAGGGATGCTAGACCCAGTTTCCAGCAGGTGTTGCTCCCCACCAATAGATGGAGCCAGCCCGGGAATCCTACTGGTGCCTGAAAAAAAAAGAAAAAAAAAGAAAAAAAAAGAAAAACAAAGAAAAAAAAAGAAACGAAAAAAAGCCTGCAGTAAGGTTACATCACCGGGATGTTGTATTACACTGTGCCAGCATTGTTGATAGATAGATGAACTGGACAAGCAATCAACGGTACAAGTTCTAGAGAGTCTGGGAATGAATTCTTCTATGCTGCGATGCACAAATAAGACACATGGATACATTTATATTGCAGAGCCTTACAAAAAGGGAAAAAACAAATCTTCTCCGGGTCTGCATTCAAAGTCGACAACTGGGGAGGTGTGTGGATTGAATGGTTTAGAAAGTGTAACCAGCTCGCGACCTCTGCCCCCTTAGCCTGTGAAGCAGTTCAAAGAATATGTCCTCCTTTTAAGTTAAAAAAACCATACAGGCTGAATGTGAGAGTCAAAAATGTGAAACCACATTCTAAGGGGGGCAGAGAGCTGCCAACTTCCTGCTTCCTTGATTTGCCAATTCTCGCCGTCCTCCCTCTCAGCAGTGGCCTCCAATCGCACTCTCTACCAACAGCCAGGTGAAGGATATGGTGGCTGATGGACTGCCTCACCAAGATAAGCCAGAACTTGTAGCAGCACTCCTTCACATAGATCTGCATATGACAGGGTCTTCCTAAAGCTTTCATTCACACAGTCCCAAGAGGAAGTTGGTTTGGCATCACATAGATAGCAGCAGAAGTCAGAAACAGAACCAGACGGGAGGAAGAAAGAGTTTGATTTGCAGACCTTTTCCAGATGCGACCAAGGGTTCAAGGCTGTGCCATTTTCCAAACTGAGACTGAACGTATCTATCTAACTGAGGTAATCAAGCTTGGTTAGCGTCTGTTAATCAATCTGCCTGGCTTTCGAATCGTTAACCTATATGTGTCTATCAACTGCTGCTCCCTTGACATTGACGGAAGACGTCCTTCAGGATCACAAAGAGTCGTGTCCCATTCCATTCCCTGCTGTCCAGAGGATTATAATCATTAGACGTATGGTGTTGAAATGTATGGGATCGAGTCCAACATGGATCGGGCCTCGCTTGTTTCACCCGGTATGGAGCTTTCTCCTTCCTTGCCAAGATTCAATATAGCCCGTCACCTTCAACACATCGGCATGGCAGGTACTAGGTAGTGAGATGCCTCCTGCCGAGACAAGGTTAAGATAACAGGTTGTCAGTTATCTCCTCTCAGTTAACTCAACCTGTTACCTTTGAGTTAACTCAAACTGTTACCTCTCAGTTAACTCAAACTGTTACCTCCGAGTTGTTACCTCTCAGTGAACTCAAAATGTTACCTCTGAGTTGTTACCTTTGAGTTAAAACTCAAATTGTTACGTCTGCGTTAACTCGACCTGTCACCTCATGACCGCTGCACAACAAAAGCTGCACATCAGGCTCTCGACAGTTGTCTGTTGTGTGGTTTACACAAAGAACGATGATCCAGAACGTACCATGCCCCCTGCAGAAGAGTCAATCACAATTTGCAAAAGGAAATCAGTTCATAGAGAGTTCAGATGCTTGAGAGTGGCAGGAAGGACATAAAAGGGCCAAACAAACAATGAAGAAATCGGACATACTCAGACATGCTAACACATCAACAGACATTAAAAAAAAAAAAAAAAAAAAAAATAAAAAAAAATGAAGAAAAGGATCAGCCAGCGGATCCGTGGGCTCAATTATGTCTGGTCTTCTGTGAGATGCAGCATTCTGCTTTATTGCTGTTCTCTTTTATTTTTTGGATCAGATATTAAACTGATCAGAACAGATACTACACGATCTTAGCCAAAAGGCCGAGAAAGGCATTGTGCGAGGCCGAGGCCCCGATGAGCCCCTTTTTGGCCCTGTCATGCAATACGTCGGCCGCCCTAAGTGAAGGCAGGCTCGACGAGGGTCTGAGGGCCCCTATTTCGGACACCAAGCAACTGAAGAAAATTCAGGCAGTTGCGCAGCGCCAGTTGGTTGAGAGCACCCAGGCCCAGACCGCCTGTTTGCATGTATGGAAGGCAGGCCTTGGGCTGGATACGGGATATGAGTCAAACACAGGCCAAGGGCAGTTGGGCACAAGTAACCACCACAGGCCCTGGGCCTGATTCGTTTTGGACTGGGCCTCAGCCTACCGGGGCCTACCGGGGCCTACCGGAAGCTTCTTGGGAAAGGCCCAGCGCAGCCTGGGACAGAACGCAGGCAGGCCACTTCCATAAAACAAAGGGCCTACCTCCGCATTTGGCATTCGGGTGCTGGCTGCATGCTGCGCAAGCGCTGCTGCGCTGAAGCTGGCTAGCGCTCACACGCTCACGGGCAGCCATAGCCGAGCAGCGCTGCTGTGAGCTGGGTGTGGCGCAGGGTGGTCCTTGGGTGCAAGTGGCATCTGTGAGTTGGGGAACAAGGTTGTGAGTGATACGAGAGACTTACCTGGTGCTAGAAGCGATGGCATTGTCCGAGATCCGCTCGTACTTCGGTGAAGCTGTTGACGTCATCCGGCGGCATTGTAGAATAGGCTAGATACGATCTGCCATCTGTAGTCTGGGTCTGGGCACCGAGCGCCAGATAGGATATCAACATTGGTTCTTCGTTGATGATGATGATGAGACTATTCCAGCATTGTCAATTATGATCTCTTGGTGTGTTCTTATGTGGTGAAACTTGTGATGCAATTCTGCTGTTGGTTCGAGGTCACGACTATCTGGTCTTATGTGTATGATGCTGTTTGATTGCTGAAGTTCGCTACTGCTCATCTTCCTTGCAATTTGGTATCGGAGCTGCGTTACGTTGCGCTCATCTGGCGCTTGTCTTCTGCCTATGCGGTACATACATGCGGTCTGCTTGGTGAGTGAGGCCGTAGGGGGTGTGTAGTGAGGAGAGCAGAGACAAGGTGTGGCGACCCAGGAGGAGAGGGGATCGTCAGGAAGGCTGCGGTGTGTATATTGGGTGTTCGCAGTGTGATGAGAACTATCTGGTGGTTGATTGATGCTGAGGTGGAACGGCGAGATAATGCTGGTTGTGCTGATGCAGTGACTGGTCATCGCAATCGCCATCAGGTCATCTGGTGAGAATATCTGTGGTTGGGGGCAGCTATAATGAGGTACGTTGCTCTTAACCTTATCTACCCTCTTCATCACTTCTTACCGTGAGGTTGTGAGTTCGTTCTTGAGAGTCCTCTCATTGTGAGGTGTCGCATGCGCTCAACCTTGAGAGTCGGCATTGTTCTTGTGGAGCATCTTGAAGGAGAGGGCGGTGCTTTCTGAAGGGCCCTGGATGGAGCACTGGGTCACGGTCACGATGCCAACCCACCGGGAGTAGAGCACGCATGCTTTGCTGCTTCGTCCTTGTCTGCTTGCTGCGCTCATAGAAGGGGTACTGAAGGGCAGGCCAGCCCTATGGGAGCGATGAGTACTGGGCGTCTATAAATAAGCACCGGCTGGGGAAACCATTGGCTGTGATCGTCGTCCTGCTGCGACGTAAAATAATTCCTGATGACACTTGGGGGTGGTCGTTAAATTGCCTCTAGATCAGCCAATTGGTGTAAGGCTCGCTGCATGCAAGGATAAACACAGTGTAGGGCTGGCCAGCTCAGCAGCTACTCGGGGCACAGGGGTGGGCCGTGTGCACACCTTTAGTCACGCATGCCAAACCGGATCGCTCAGGGACGCTGACGTCAAGTGACAATCAAGGGGAATTGGGGAAGGGGTAGATTCCAGGTGATCAGTTCGAGTAAGATACCATGCTGTGAACAGACCATACAAACGATTCTATTTTTATTTTGATTAGTTAGATGTACAACCATTTAACATCTGACAGACATCATTAGTTAGAACTGTTTTCTGTTCCTTGTGCTTTCTGTTTGCGGACTAATCAAAGTGAAATAGGTTGTGTTTGTAGGAATCTGAACTTACCTGTTGGACCCGAATGTTTAGTCTCTGACACAGCCACCAAGTAATTATTTAGTTGGTTTGTGCATTACACTGCGGTAGGCATCTAGAGTGCACTAGTGCAGATTGTGTACAGTGTTGTAGCTTATGAGCGACATGGAGGACACTAGAGAGGACGACCGAATCTTGCGATCGACTAGACGCTCGATTGCCCATTTGGCTTTAGGATCAGAGGCCGACAGATACCTGTTCCGCCAGCGTAGGGAGAGGCTGCAGCAGCAGAGGAGAGCTAGAGCAGCAGAGGAGAGCTAGAGCAGCCGAGGCTAGCAGGGCGTTCGTAAGCGAAGCCGCAGCTTCAGTAGCCATGGCCACTTTAGCGCATCAAAGTTCCCAGGCCAGTCGTTTAGGAGTTGTAGGATCAACGGTCGTGCATACCCAGAGTCAGTCCACTGGCTTAATGGCAAGCCAGGCCTTTGTGATGACTCCCGAGGAGGTCGCCATACAGCGAGCTGCTGATCGCGAGGCACAACTACAGCAGGCGTTGGGAGAGATTAAGGCTGAGAAAGAGAGAATGATTAGGAGAAGAGCCAGGATGCAGTGGAGGCAAGCGGACGTTAGTGAGTTAGAGGAGATGGATCCAGCAGAGATGGAGGATGACGTGAGGACCATACGGTCGGTCTTGTTGAGCGTAGTAGAAATGAAAGATCACCAAATGGAGATCTTACAGGACATCCAACAGAGTCCGGCTGTGTTAGTCGGGCGAATGCCTGGCCCGTTGCACATCCTCCTCCTTTTGTCCCACCGGTGACTGGGGTATCCCCATATACAGCCCCAGCATCGGTCCAGACCGTTTCCTTGGGCATGCCGTTATCAGGAGGGTTCTCAGCAGGTCCTAATTTGCAGGTTCCTGTACAACCAGTGTATTCGCAACCTCCGTTGTAGATTGCAGTTACAACGCAACCTGCTGTCTCGCAGCCTGTACAGCCGCAGGGTACACAGCCCCTGCAGCCAGTGCAGCCGCCTGCATCACAGGGTCCACAACCAAGTGGGATGCAGGGACCAGGACAAACTCAGTGGGTACCAAAGACGACCATCGCTGCTCCTAAACCCTTCACAGGGGATAAGAGAGGCGAAGACCTCAACACTTGGTTGAGGGCAGTGCTGGTATATGTCAAGTGTAAACTTACCTTGCCGCATGAGGAAGTGCTTGTGGCTACATCCTACCTAGAGGGTAGTGCAACAAGATGGTTTAGTGCAGTTACAGGGGTACGGTCATGACTTCCACGCTTGGGCAGCCCACCAGAAACTGGAGGACTTTCTCAAGATGGTGGAAGACAGGTGGCATGATCCTCACACTGCACATGAGGTAGTTCAAGTCAGTTAGGGAGGCCACTGACGCTGTAGAGCATCTGATCTGTGTCCCTGGAGTGCGCTATGACCCCTAGGTCTTGGTCTTACTCACCTCTTACCTGAGGTGCTTCCCTATGCCTCTCAGGAATCAGTTGGCAGGTGAGGCCAACATCAATGTGCACAACTTTCCTTCATTCAGCAAGAAGGCCCTAGACCTTGAGGCAAAGATAAGGCATGGACATAATCCCACAACGGATGGTAGGAAGAAAACACTGCCTCCCAATTGGAAAGCGAAGGGTAGCATCATGTTTGTCGATAACGACGGTTCAACCATCGAGTTAGACGACAACTTCCAGGAGGGAGTAGGTTCAGAGGCTGCCAGCATAGAAGCTTCAGGGGGTGGAGTAGTCGCTGCCATAGCACAAAAAGGTAAGGCGACCGGTAGACGCCGTGGAGGTTCCCGGTCTAGGAGTCAAGTTGACCCCAATTCTCCTCCATGGGAGAAAGCGAGTCTCACAGAGGACGTGTGGAGAGATCGGTACACCCGGCAGGCTTGTATCCGTTGTGGCCAATATGGCAATAACCAATTCAAGTGCCGAAATAAGAAGGTGACCGAGAAGATCCCGCCTACGATGGGGCAGGCGGTAGGATCCTCCGCTTCTGTTGGTAGCAATCTTGCCAGCACTTCAGGCACTGCTCCCGGAAACATGTCGGGCCAGTAGGAATAGTAGTTGTTCCTGCTAGGGTCGAGGTGGTGGACACACCCTCACCATCTCGAGAGATGGCCCAAGCTACTGACTCCATTGTCGTCCCGGAAACACGTTCAAACCAATCGAGCCTCTGTTCAATGAATGTGTTTGAGTCCTTAGAGGAGCTAGAGGAGGAGTGGTCTAGATCAGACCCGCTAGCTTCTTGGACGACATTAGTCAAAGCCCCTAAGGGTGAGATGTTCGTCAGCGAGGTGGTCATTGGCGGCCGCAAGGCCGGGGCCTATTATGACACTTGCTCGACTAGGAACTTCATCAGTCGCGCATGCGTTGAGAGGCTGCGCTTACAGGGGCAAGTGCAGCGCCTGATTCGACCTGTGGATTCGACCTGTGCCAACAAACAACGCATGGTAGTTAATCACTACCTCCAGGACGTTGAGTGTTGCTTCCCGTACGTGGGAGGGGAATTGAGACATCGTGTCTCGTTCCTAGTGAGCGATGAACTCCCCATGGATATGTTGTTAGGTATGTAC